CCATTTGTCTAAATCAGACACGAGTTTCGCACCAATAAAAAGAAAACGAACTTTTTTAACCACGAGTTTAATGCTGTCAGGATTTCATATGTACCCAGTTAATTTTACCTGATTTTAACTGCTTCAAATCCTTCATCAAAACTAAATGATTGGTTTGTTATATTTCACTCCTCTTTCTTAAAACTTAAGATTATTTACACTATCTATTACAAAACTGGCTGGCAAAAAACTAATTAATGTGATTGGGACTTGCATTGCTCGATGTCACCTATGTCGCATTAGTGAATAACTTGTTTTGCAGAAGTTACATGCTTTCTTTTCTATGATAATAACTATAAACAATTAATTCAACAAACTAAAAATGAATGCATTTGTTCAATGAAAATTCCTCTTATTCACAATAAAGCCTCAATGCTGTAATTTTCACACGGAAAAAAGACATGAAAATCCTTCTCAAATGGAAATTCATTTTCTTTGATAATACCTTGCGTACAAACTGTCTCACACTTAAGTTCTGGCCTGAGTTAAAGATAAGGAAATTATTCTTTAAATTTGATCAGCTAAAGCAATTGCTTGATTTTAAATCAGTACGGTGTGTATATTTCGCTCTATGTCAATCTTTGCATTCTTATGGTATCTTATTCTGACTTTCACCCCGAAGGGTTGTCACTCCCCGATGGGCTGAACTTAGTGTCTTACGGGGTAGGTCACTCACCCCGTTATTTGGCTTTGTCGCTAGTACCCCCTTTCGACAGCTAGGTCATTTCAGCCACAAACGCAATCTATAATCTTGCCTTAAATTAGCACGTAGAACACTAATAAAAATAATATTAAATAAGCCGTCACGTTATAGTAATGAAATGTTATTCAAAGAAGCAAAAAGAGGGAAAATTCGAATGGTAGGTTGAGATGGAGAGGCGGTGTCCGAGTGGATCGAAGTCAACCACTCAAGTGGTTAGAGCAGCGGGGTATTGAGCCGAAGGTCGTGGGTTCGAATCCCGCTCGTGACACTGACTTTTTTATCTCAACTAAAAACCTTAATTAATTGCTAAATAATTATGTAAATGTAACAAAGAGACAAACAGGTATAATAAAAAACATAAATTTAGCCAGGTGTTAAATTACCTTATTGTGTTAATAATTGGTTTGTAATTTTTATTTATTTTTTGTTATATATAAAAGAAATATACTTTAATTTATTTTTCCTTTTATTCCAAAATCAGAAACATAATACAAAAGAACAGTACGACATAACAATCCGTTTCTCGGGTGTTAACTAAAATTGGAAAACATAAATAAAATGAGAAATTCTAATTAATCCTAATGAATGGAGAGTACAGATGAGTAATGATACAATTATAACATTTAAGTGAATATAAACATAATTTAACATCCCTTAGCCAGACCTGACCCTGGGCACTCGATGGCCAGAAAGAAGGCCATCATGGATTCTGGATCCCGAAACCTACTGTGGCTTAGCATCCTCCACAAAAGAGGATACATCTTAAAATGGATCCTTAATGAACCTGGTGGAACAATACCATAGGTATGAGGCACGCGAAGAAATTCACGGTCCTTCCATGAACAGTTCGGTTGGTTGCATTTTACTCTGTTTAGGATCTACTAGAAGCCATTTTTTTGGTTTATGCTGGATCACCCTGTATATAATTATGTTTCTATCAATAATGCCTTAACGAGTAATAAAAGTTTCGGACTAAATTTTTTTCTTTTCTTGTCTGTTCCCCCATTGAATTTGTTTATAGAAGGATGATTCTGATTGGACTTAAGGTAGATTTCTGGGATGATTATTTATTTGTATGTTTAGATTATAATGATTATTCGGAAATCGTGAAATGCTGTCTGGTGTGATGTAGGTTTCAGAAAAACATTTTCTTTATCGTGCCAACGTTTCGATCCTTATTGAGATCATCTTCAGAGCCTGGGGTTTACAAACATTGTTTAAATTTAACAAATTCATGCAGTGAATTTATACAACGCAAAAAATATTTTTTATATTCAATCAATGTATTTCTACTCACTCAAGGTGTTAGTTTTCAGCGTAGTAGTAGTGAGTAGAAATACATTGATTGAATATAAAAAATATTTTTTGCATTGTAAAAATTCACTTTTTTCCACATCCTACATGTATTTGTTAAATGTAAACAATGTTTGTAAATCCCAGCCCCTGAAGATGATCTCAATAAAGATCGAAACGTTGGCGCGATAAAGAAAATGTTTTTCTGAAACCTACATCACACCGACCGCATCTCACGATTTCCGAATAATCATCGACTAACGGTCACTAATCACCACACATTAGATTATAATTTTGACAATATAGTAATACGAATATTTACAATTTTAATTGTTTAGATTGTCTAATTATTTCTAATCATCTGTCACCCAGGACGAAAATCCTGGTTAAAAATTGGAACAGATGATACTTGAAAAAAATCCCAATTTATGCCTAAGATCGGGATTTTTCGAAAAAACACGTAAAAATTTATAACTTCTGATGGGGTTGTGATAGAACAGTTCGGTTGGTTGCATTTTACTCTATTTAGGATGTATAAGCCAATTTTTTTTGGTGGACATCTTTCCGAAATATAGTTCGTATTTTTACAATTCACACAGAATTAAGGAAAACGCAAAGACAAGTTTTTTTATACGCACACAAGCAAATAGATAAATTAGTAAAAAGAAAGTTTAGTTGTGGGATTGTACCAACTGTCTAATTCTTCCATCTCTTGACCTAGTAAAACAATTTATAATAGATAAACCTGCCAAATTAATCAAACTTCTTTAAAAGTTTACATATTCAGAGTGCTCAAATTATTTAGTTACATAAAATCCTTGTGTTATTAATCTTTCTCCTCAATTGACGTAAGAAGGACAAAAGGTAATACTTACGGCTGTTGGGTCGGATAAGGAATGATGTAAATGGACCTGTCTGCTTTTGATACGGACGGGGCCTTATGGACTGTTCGGGACAGTTAGTCAGGAACACTCACTCATCTAACGCCCAATACCTTTTATTAAATCTTACCAATTACACACCTGACTTAACATCTATTTATTTAAGCCGGTGGGAGGTCGATCGATCGGATCGTCTGAGGTGATGCTTCTTGCTCGGGCTTTCCGTGTATTTAAAGCTAAATATGTTTAAAAAACGTTATTTTATGTAATCGAGTTAAAAAGAGTGAAGTTTTAATCGAGGACATCATCGATTCTATTAAATCAGAATTAATTAAACAGAATTCAGGAAACGCTGGATGTTAAGTCATCCTTCGCAATTATAAATAATAAATATTAAAAACATCAAGATGCAGAAATTGATAAGAATTGATGATGATGATAATGGATGGAAATGGTTTTTTTGTTCCCTCAAGCACTAGGAGGTTTCTGGCTTATTGAACTTAACCTACTTAGTTCAGTGAAATCGACTCGATCATTCTCTTAAGAAGTGCTAGGTCGTCGACTGTCGTTGCTATAATTCCATTCCCTGGGTTTTCTTCGTATTATAGATTACGGCTCCATTGAGCGGTTGTTCCCCCTTCGAATATGATTTAGGTGGCTGTATCTTCTTCCTGATTGCATAACCTACAAATGAGGTTATCATTGCATACACCCATGTTATGATGTTTTCTCAGATTGTCAGATCTCTCCTCTGGGTTTAGCCCTCTCTTACTGTAGCAGTGAGTTGAGTCTTGGTGAGGTGTTTTAGCATGAACTTACTATGTCTAGGACTTTTAGAATTTACCAACTTCTCCATTTGCCTATTTTTATCCATTTCTGAGATGGAGGATTTTGTGTTTGCTTTTGTTATCCCAAGAATAGGTTCTGGTATTCTATGGTCTTGTAGATCCACCTCCGGTCAGTATGTACGGTTATTCCTTACATTCACTAATTTCGTGGTCCGCTTGACCAATTAATACATTACAATTAATTAAGGATTTTTAGTTGAGATAAAAAAGTCAATGGCACGAGCGGGATTCGAACCCACGATTTTAGGCTAGATACGCCGCTGCTCTACCACTTGAGCTATCGTGACCTCGATTCACTCGGACACCAACATAAAATTAAAACGGAAAATTCAAAAGGTGGGGTTGAGATGGGAAGTTGGTGTCCGAGTGGATCGAGGTCACGATAGCTCAAGTGGTAGAGCAGCGGCGTATCTAGCCGAAGATCGTGGGTTCGAATCCCGCTCGTGCCATTGACTTTTTTATCTCAACTAAAAATCCTTAATTAATTGTTATTCCTTACCCAAAATCCCCTTTTGCCTTGGTACTCAAGATATCTCAAGTTGTTGTCCCCCCCCCTTGGTTTTGAAAATTTTGGATGCATTCACTGGCTATTTTGATGTGTTTTTTTACATTCTAATGCTTAAATACTGTTTGGCTACTCGATCTTAAGAGGTTTTTTGCCAATGTAATCTCTTGAAAGATTTTCTAAAGCACAAGCATTGATGGCACGCATTTCAGCTTGAAAGACCGTGGAGTACATCTCTAATGAATAAGATTTCTCATGTTTTGGGCTTGTACAAAAAAACGACAAATCAGGTTCCTTTATTTGTTTTAGAACCATCTGTGTATCATATCATTGTATCTGATGTCTTCCTGAATTCTTCTTTTCTTTGTAGTACATTGAGACTTTATAGGTGTTCCAGGGATCATGTAGTACTCGCCATTTCTATTAATGGGTGTTTGATTTTATTAAGTTAATAAGGAACCATTTTTAAACAAACTTTTTATTTTTTACCTTGCCTAGTTCCAACGTAGTGAATTATTAGTCTAAATCTTTATTTTTTGTATTTATTTGCACGTTCTAACAACGTACCGTTGTCGACATTGGTCTGAGTATTCGTATGCAGGTGGTAACTGAGGTAACTGTTTGTATGTCCTAGAAACCCCGATCATAACTAACGTCAACTCATGCAGATTTTTCAGGAGTCAAAAATATTTTTTTGTTTGTTGTTTTTGACGTATCATTTTTTTTTACAGGTGTTCAAAATGATCCCAACCCAAGTGATTATGTCTAGAACGTTTCACAAAGCAAACTGGGTCTCATTCCTGGTAAGTTGGATAGTGAAGACTAGAATTTTTTATTTTTTAAATATGTTGATTCGTAACCTTTTCATGAATTACACACATTAGAAATAGTTCTTTACGTTATATACACTTGAACACAACACCTGGAGGACAATATTATAAGAAACCTTCCAACGCCAATCTTTCAACCTTACTCCTCAAGCCCTCTCCACTACCTCCAAACCCATGAACTTTAAGAAGTAGGAATATTTTTTAACTAAGGGAATGTTAATGTGATTGTAGATAGTGAGGTAAGAGGTAGAATAGAAACTTGGATACTACAACCTGGAGGACAATATTATACCAACCATTCAACACCATTTCGTTTGAGGCGAGCTGGAAGGTTCATGGGTTTGGAGGTAGTGGAGAGGGCTTGAGGAGTAAGGCTGAAAGATTGGCGTGGAACTTGAACAAGTGGGAACGTTTTTTAACAAAGGGAATGTTAAGGTCATAGTGAGGTAAGAGGCGTAGAATAGAACTTGGAGAAATCCTTTGGGTGGTTTTGATTGGACTGTTTGGATTAGTTCTATTATGGTTGGAGGACTTAACTCCACTCCAGAAAATTCGGAGTAATGTTTTTTTTTTATCAGTGTTTCTTTGTTAACAGGCTGATTTCGGTGCAAGTCGTCTGCTTAGTTCTTGAAAATTTTGTGTGGAGATCCCACGTCAGTCTGTTGTCTAGGTATAATCCTAAGATAACTTGTGTATATGCCGGTAATTTCTTGCTGTTAACGTATACATGTAGGCACGGCTAATTAACAAGAACGTAATTTGGGTGTTTTAGTCCTCGTTCAGTTTTATTTTCTACATTTGGCATCATTGTTTGATGAACTCAAGATACTTCTGGTTATTGGAAGTGGTTTGGTTAGGATTTGATTTAGGAGATAAAATTGCAGTATCGTCAGTGAAGGTAGGACAAGAACACCCTTGGTACGTCGGCTTGGATAGATATTCTCTCGGAGAATTCATTGCCGCTCCTTTCTTGTAAGATGGAAAGTTCGGGGTGATTTGGTATACTGCGCCATTTTGGAGCTACTGTATTGTTCTGTATCAATGGTACATCAATTCATTAAGGAATTTTATTAGTAGACCCAGTTTTATTGGTTGTATTTCTTCTACGGGTACGCTGTACATCCCAACGCATTTCTTTATGATGATAAATGTAGTGCCACAGTTTATTAGTAGTGTTTCCCACTGGGGGCGCAATGTATTTTCAAATTGAGGTTTTTTAGCGTGCGCACCTGGCACATAGGCCTTATCATACGTTTAGATTCTCAAATTGGAAGCGACTCACGTGCTAGGAAAATCTGCTTAAACCACGAGGTTCGGTGTAAAAGCCCACATGTCATTCTGCAGCATGCTGCCGACATGTCGGCTTCTCCAGTTTGCCCCTTCCGAGCGGGTGGGTTAACAGTGTGCCGCGCGTAAAGGGATACTTAAAGGGATCGAAATGCATCGGCCAAGTCTCTCAAGCACTATCTCCCTGGGTGTAGGGGAGATAGTGGATCCTGTGTAAGTCCGGAAACGGACATAGGAACAGGCAGCCTTAGACCTTTGAAGGGTGTAGGGGCTCCGATTGTGTCGAAACCTCCGGATCCCCTACGGCCGCGATTTCGATTTTGTGGAATCTCCAACCACCCCCTGAGGAGACCTTGCCTTCGGTAAAGGTAGCCCAGACGGCCACAAACGAAACACATCCGCCCCCGTCCACCAATCCTCACCCATTCGAGGGACTCGTCTGCGTAGTCTTAGCTTCCTCGTAGGGTGTACGCTTCGGCAGTTCGATCGCTCCGACTCCCGCGAGGTCGGGTAGGTTACTCGGAGGTCATACGCAAGGGCCCTGATCCACGGCCACGGATGAAACAGAACCTCTTCTCTAGGTACCCGCTAGGGTTCTCACCAATAAGCCACTGCGAGTCCTTACCCACGCAGCTGGGCTTGAACTTGGAACGAAACTTCGCTGACCCGCAGTTCAGATGGTTATGCACCCGCCTCCGTCCGTATATATAAATATAAATATCGACAAGATCTGGTACCCTAACCTGCGTGTGCCTCTGATCAGTACCCACCGTCCGAGGTCATCTCTCAAGCCAACAACTCCCTTAACGCATCTCGAGGAACTAGGTAGGCGTAGTCTGGCATCCTCGCATGCTGTACGCTTCCTCGGTCCTATCGTACAAATGCATGCAGAGGATGCTTAAGGCGATCCATGTGCGCCAGGAAACTCGTTTAGCTTGTGCTTTAGAGAATTTGTCATGTTCTGAAGGCTACACCATTATTTTGTACCTGGAAACCCCCCTTTGAACCCAGGGGTTGGGAAGGGTCTGCTGGAGTCTCCTAGGAGCACTCGCTGCACAGTCCCAGGAATTGGATTGAGAAAATTATTAATAGAATAGAAATAGAAAATAATTGGTGGGTTCACTGAATCTCATCTACTTCTTCACATAGTATACCGGAACCGTATTGGTCAGTACCAATCTTCCCAAATGTCCGTTCAGTCCACATTGCCCCGTTAGGTTTCGATGTTTTTTCCTGCTTCCTTTGATGCATTCTTTTGTCTTGTTCGTTCCAAATCTCGTCAGGTGTGTCCAGTGAGTGAATCCCATTATTTCTACACTTTTGCCATGACGAGAGTCTAGGATGCTCATTGATCGTCTGCCACAAAAGAGCTCAGGACTTATCAGTGGTGTTGCAGCCCTTTCCTTTCAAAAGGACCCAGTAAAGTGAAAAAAAATTGTAAGATTTCGTTGGGTCTGTGGGGTGATGAACCTGAAGTTTTTCATTTCTGCTCATTTTGGTCTGCCTATCCACACTGATGGAACCTAAGAACAAAAGCATCGGAAACGACCAAACTATAAAAAAAAATTTACCCAGAGAAACAGGCCTTAATATAAATGGTCGAATAACTTTAATTGATTATGAACTAGTAAATATTAAAATTAATAAACACTGGAAAATTCAACTCTTTTGTGAATTTCAACTTCATCTAATTAAATTTTCGGTTTTCATCTGTTTTATTTTAATTTTTCAGGTTTTTCGATTTGACTAAAATGATACACGGTCGTCACAAACGACCAACGGGGGTCAGTCGTGTTCTTTCATTTGGCATCTTTTTGCTGGAATCGAAAATTGATTTTCTCTCTCGCCCCATCCCAGTTTGGAATCATTGAGGGTATCGAATGTTTTTAATTATGGGACTCCCCCATGATACTTTTCACAGAGGTTGATTAATAGTGAAAGCCAATACTTTTTTCCACACATTTGTGTCAGTTGCCCGTGAGAAAATTGGAAAAGGTCAAGTTAGGAGTATCCGTTAAAAAATAACATCTTGAAGCGGGACGTAAAAACCGATCTCCCATGGGGATGACGTGTAGTTTCCCATTATTGAGCTATTTTTTTTATTACTTAGAAGGTTCTAGACTATTGATTACACAAATTCGTTTCTAAAAATTACTATGTCTATGTCTGTTTTACTTAAACCGAAACATTTCACTCCAGTGAGCAGTTGTAAACAAAATTGATTTGGGAAAAATCTAATCTGTAGCTTTTACAAAAAGCCTATTTGCATTGACAAATTCAATTTTATTCAGTTTCTTTGAAAAAAAAAAACAACTATTATTTGAAAAGTTGGTGGAGACAAGAAAATCTAGGTGTGGCATAAATCAGCACCCTGAGTCAAAACAGGATTTGTACATTTTGGCAAAATGAGATAATTGAATATTCCTGTGCCTTTTTTTAAACATCTGGACAAGTTACGTCAATATTTCGATATTCTAATTTTCTATTTGTCAATTTTTTTAAGTAGGATAACTACACTGAATTGAAAATGTGAGCCCAATAAAAAAAGTTNTCTGAATCGTTACTAAAATAGTTGAAAGCGTACCAAAGGTCTGTACTATAAATTACAATCCTGAAAAGTTCTGTTTTTTAGAAGATGAAACAGCGGCACGTAGCATATGCAGGCTGAGATTCTTACGCCCGAAAAAGTAAAAGCCAAGGCCTGAAGAAATTTTCAAGAAAGGGATAGCAGTTAATGTCGACGGTATACTGAGGAAGACCGTGGGTCAAGTACCAAGAAGATAAAAAGGTTGGGTTTTACCAACAAAAGAATAGCCAACTTACTCAGACAGCCTCATGCTCAGTCCAGATCCATTTGGGATTGCATTAAAGCCCTGACATTGGGGACAACAAAAAAATTATCATTGTTTGGGAACCAGGGCATACAGGGCAGAGGGGCAATGAGAAGGATTATAAATTGGCGAAGGAAATTTTGATGAAGACACCTATCAGCCCTGAACCATTTTCCGGCGTACCAAATTACAAAAAACGTAGATCAGACAGTGGGTTTAAATTAAATCCTCGGTTCAAAGGAGTCTTCTTAAGAGTTCTAACGTTTCAATATCGCGTATTTCCTCCTCTTGTCTTACTTCTGGAAGACGCCTCGACATACTTTCTACCAGCCTGGAAATGTCTCTTTGTTAGAGGTTAGCCCATCTTCACGAAGAGACCTTTCAAGATCGTGGAGTTATCAGGAAGTGATAGATGTGCTCTTCGTCTTTTGAGGTTATTCCATAAATGGTCGATGAGGTTCAAGTCTGGAGATTGTGCTGGCCAGGCTAAGAATCTGATGATGTGCTGTTGAAGGTACGTTTGTACTTTGCGAGCGACATGTGGACGGGCATTATCGTCCATTAGAGTAGGATTGTCGTTGATTTCATCGAGAATAGGCAACGCATGATGTTCCAACATTTCAATCACATAGCGAGTGGCCATCAAAGACCGTCCTTGAACGTTGAAAAGGTTGTCTCTAGGAAAAATTACAGATTTCGTACCTTTCGTTTGCCTTCTCCACACTCTTTCACCCCATCTGGAGATCGTAGAACAAATCTACACTCATCTGTAAAAAGTGCAGCGGAACAGTCGTCTAAAGACCAATGGCTGCGTTCTCGAGTAAATGAGAGCCATGCAACTCAGTACGTTCTGGTCAATGCTGGTCCTCTTAAGGGGAGAAAAGCCCCTACTCTATACTGATTTAATCTTCTTCGAGCAGTGCTTTCAGAAATTTGGACACTTCGAACTTCCTGAAGCTGATGAATCGCTTGAACTACAGTAAGGTGACTGTTTCGCTAAATTCTCAAAGTCAAAAAACGGTCATCCTGTGGTTCTGTTACCCTAGGGCGTCCAGAACCGGGCCTTCGATGGTAGGACCCAGTTTGTCGAAAACATCTAACAGCATCTCGCAGTGTCTTCGAGAGAACTCTGATGGCAGTAGCTGCTTACCTGATGTACCGTCCATCATCAATACGTGCCACACCACGCGCAACATCCTCAGCGCTACGTGGCATTTTTAAGTTTAAAAATTGAAATTAAAAAAACAAAGATGAAAAATAAACAGTTTAAGTAGAAATACTTCGATTGAATATAAAAAAATTGTTTTTGCAATGTATAAATTCACTTT